CCACAAGAAGTGACTGAAAAACTACTACTTCACAAGGAATGGTATGACCCATGTCGTGATCAAACCCGAACTCTTCTTCGGCACGTTGAAGAAGGTTCTGGAACTCAGGATGAGTCAAGAGAGAGATTGGATGGGTTCTAAATTTGGATGTGTGACAAAGTCTTGATGTATGGGTTCTAAATTTCGATGTGTGTTCTTGGTAGTTGTTTTGTCTTTTTATCGTTTTGTTGATGTAATGGGGAAAGGGATTAAGGAGATTGTTGTTCTGTATGTGTTATGTAATTAGCTAAGAGTTTAGTCCTTTTGTTTATATTGTTGTTCATGTCATCATGTTGAGCTATATTGTAAACTTTTTCGCAATGTTGAACCTGTTAAATTGATGAACCTCCTCATTTGACATTTATGCTTAACATTGGTTTATGTACAACACTTTTACTTGACAATCATTATCAATTATTTTCCTATTGTTGTCTTCTTGTAATTTTGTGAATACTTTAGCTTCTGTAAACAGTCCATATTGGTCATAATATCGATGATGCATGTGGTGTTTATATATCATGTTTGCAACTACTTTGCAGGTACCAGCATGGTTCCTGGGACGAAGACAGGGCGACGTAAGAAAACAACAACTGACCCATGGCATCACCCTCAGGAACATCTGCACATGTCATTGTCACACCACAGACTTTATCCGATGAGACACAACCGCCGGATGACACAAACATTTGTGGAAGAGAAACAGGCGCACGACGTAGGTAAGACCATTGTACGTTTTTGTTGCATCTTCAGGGTTCACTGACTGCGGACTACAATGTTTATTCTTGTTCTTGGTAGTTTTGTAGGTGTGTTTCGGCCCCTAAAGATAACTTTATTTGACTTAACCAAATGATTTTTCTTCATCTAGAAAGACAATTTCTTGCATGTATAAAAAAATTATAATCCCTTAGAAAATTTGCTTGGATGATTGTTAAATTTAATATTAATTATTGCCGATTATATGTTTGGGCACTAATTGCATGTGAAGGCCTTACACTTGTTGCCCCTTCTTGACCAGGGAAAAGTACGTCAACTCGTGTACGTGGTCCTACAATCGGAAAAGGAGTGCAAAAAAGGATTGTGAGAAAAAAAGGGGAGAAACTACATGTATATGTCAATCACATGCTGAATGCCCTCACTGGAGGGAATGCCGCCACGCTTGCAACAAATGAGTTGGGCTTGTTGATAAGGCGGTTGTGCCCTCTGAAGGGAGTGAAGTCATGGAAGAAAATTGATCAGAGTATCAAAGATGCTGTAGTACAAGTTGTGTTAGTAATTTCTGACCTTAAACTAAATGTCTTTATTATGTAAAGTTGCAATTGCTGCATTCAATTTCTGTAATACGTCACACACTTATGCTTGCAGGACACATTTGAAATTGGTGAGGATTTTCATACTGATCAACAAGCTCAAGAGATCGTTGATACGAAGGCGTATCTCTTGTACAAGGATTGGTGGTACACCTTGAAGCAACACTTCGAAAAACTTGTCAAAGAGGGTGTTGATGACCCATATAGTCATCCGCCTATAGGAGTTTGCTTGGATGATTGGAAACACATGATTGATGTGGCTTGGAAGGATGATTCTCATTTGGTAACAAACAAATATAAACGACTCTATTGCTTTATTTGTGTACTATGCATTGATATGTACTAATTCTTGAATAATTCTTTTTTTTTAGAAACGCTCTAAAGCTGGTAAAGCAAACCGGAGTTTGCTACCATACAATCACACCAGTGGATCTCGCTCCTTTCCAATAGCAATGTCGCTCATGGTGAGTTAGATACATTTGGAACAGATTTCTCATCACTTATATATGTAAGATGAAAGCCATGGTTACTATTGTGACGAATTAATTTTGTTATTTGAAACTAACGGGTAGATGAAAATGAGGAGTTGGATTTTTCGGAATTTTATTCCAAATCACACAAATCGAAGAAAACAAACGAATGGATTGATCCCAAATGTGATGAGCTACATGTAAGGAGTAAACTTTTTTTGCCAATTGTATTTAATATTAATGCCTATCTTAGCACAAAATTGCATGTGATTCTTTGTACCTTTGTTTAATAGTCTACTTTTTTTGGTAATGACAGGATGCGATGGTGAATCTACAAGCGACAGCCACGGATGCGGGGATCCCATTGACACAGGAGGAACTCTCACGGCAAGTGCTTGGACAGAGAAAGAATTACTTGTGTGGATTTAGGATAGGCCCACGACCCTATTCGCCATTTGATAGTGCGGCACGATCTCGTGACAAACAAATGGAGGCAATGCGATCTGAGATGGAGTTCTTCACGAAAATTTGATGAAGGAGAAAGAAGAGCGCCAGAGAGATCGTGAAGAGATGATGAGGGAGAGAGAGGAGTTGATGAAAAGTAGAAGGAAAAAAAGCAAGGGAGGTGCAACAAGAACAACTGAATCATTTGAACTCTGTGGTTTTACGACTCAACACTATTGGAGGGTTCAGACGGTCATCGTCGTTTTTGGTAAGAAGAATTTCATTCATATCATACTAAAACTTATACAAACTTAGATTTACATATTCACTAAATAATACTATCTCTTTGTTGTGAAGCATGAGGGCAAGAAAAAATCATGCAATTGAAGAATTAAAATTTGTGCAGGTAGAGAGGGCCTATCATAGTACCCGTTATGCAATTTTGACTTTGAATGCTTCTATCATTGATCTTTTAGAGCTAGACTAATCTCATTAGAGTTGTGGTCAATTTTTTATTATTATTTTTTTTCATTTTGTCAATAGGTTGAAATTTTGATCTTTTAGATGAGGCTTATTGTCTAGGAATTGTTGGATGTTAATTTTGGTTTTTGAGTCCTATAATTTGTTACAAAAAAAAGAAGAAATGAAAAATGTTAGTGAAGACTCAGGTAATGTTGTTGGACACAAGTAACAGTTTTTAATCTCTTTTAAATGAGAAATTATATTGTCAAAGATTAAACATAATTACTCAATATGATTAAGAAATGTTGAAAGAATAAGAAAGTACTCAGTGCTATCCTAGGGATAGTAGTGGTATGGTCATGGCAATTGTGTTTCTAGCATTGAGCCATTGCATCTGTATTGTAATGAACTTACAGAAAGTAACAAACAATCTAGTCAACTGTGCAATGTCTTCAACAGTTAATCTCATTGTACCTAAATTTTCTATACAGTTAGAGAAGTTTGTAAACAGTTAATACAATTCAATGTTTAGGGACTACAAATGGTATTCCGCCAAACAGTTAATACAATTCAATGTTTAGGGAGTACAGTTAGAAAAGTCGCAAAACTCTCAAAAAAAACATTCGGAAACTGAATTTCGATAAACCAATTAAAAACAAGGGCTCAAAAACCAAAATTAAAATTAATATTATAGCAACATAAACTACATATTGTGTCTCCACACAGTTATGATCTTAGGTTACCATAGAAATGTACTCGATGGTATAAAAAATTACGTCACTTGCTCGGCAGGTAAGTTCCATAAACAAGACTGCATCTGATTTGCCATGTCTGCTGCTTGATGTTGTTTTTCGTTTAATGGGCTTCAAAACATATTTATTCATGCCGATTTGGTGTAGTATATTTTTAATTGAGTTGCTCTCTATGACAATACAAATTTAATGTGCCAAATATTATTGAGTATGGCTACTTTCTAGCTAGAACAATAGACAAATGGAGATTCTTTTGTTTGGCACCAATACACCAATGATGTGATGTTATATTGTTGTAATACTATCTATTATTTGCATATCCATTGAGCTCACTGTCAGGATAAGTCATAGAAAATTCCCTTAAAAAGGGCGTTTCGGGGGCAAAAATTGAAAACAGCACTCGAACAACCGTGTGCCTGACACGGACAGCTTCCCCATCACAAATAGGACTTGTGATAACTGACGGAATGTAATTCGGACCCGTAGGTAGAGAGTTATAGCCAAATACGCCAAAACTTAGTCGGAAAAGGGCGTTTCGGGGGGTGAAAATTCAAAACTGTGGCTCACACGGACAGTTTTCCCATGACATATAGGACTTATGACAACTGACGGAACGTCATTTAGACCCGTAGGTAGAGAGTTAGAGCCGAATACGCCTTAAACTTACTCGAAAAAGAGCTTTCCGGGGGCGAAAATTCATAACAGTCCCCGAAGTTATGAATTGTGTGTTTATTGTCCAAAAGTTATGTCTACCTCTACGAACTTATAGAAATTTGAAATTTACTTTAGTTTTTGGAAGTCCTATGAATTTCAAATTGTTTCCTAGTATTTGATATTCTTTCATGTAGAATGATTCTCTTTCTCTCTCTGTCTCCCCCAAATTCTCCCTCAGTGAGCACTGAGACATTCATGAGTGGATAATTTTAAATTGACTGAAAAGGGTCATCCAAGTCACCCTTATATAGATCTCTTGATGTCTCTATATAATAGGTCACAATTTTTCCAAAGTTTAGAACCTTCTGCAAAGTGATAAGGTACAAGGGGTTCCAACAATATTGTGGTGTGATGTGATCATCCCATCGGCCATCGTATTGTTGTATGCCTCAGGGGCAGAGCCAGGGGGGACCAGCAGGGCCCCTAAGAAGTTTCTGTTACATATAGCTGTTTACCAAAAAAACTTTGAAATACCAAGCAGATTCCTCATAACCACTCTTAAAATTTTGAATCTTTTTATTGAATAGCTTCTTTTTGGAATTCACAAATTTAACCCCTTTTGACAGCTGTAAGGTCACCACCATCTTATTATTACATGACACCATTTGTAAATTTCCAATCATTTTGATAAAATAAGAGGACCATTTTGTACAACAAATGTCAGTGATACAATATGTATCTACTTTATGTACTCAACAGATTCACTTCTCCTATACCCTCTCAATAGTGCAACTCAAAGAAACCAACTAAACAAGGAAAGAGCAACATAGAAAACAAAAAACGAAAAACCAATGCAGCAGCCCCAACAACTCAAAGATAGCAGCCATTTAACCCCAACAAGAGTGCAAAACAGATCAGCTAATTCAATCCCAGCAACAATGCAAAACAGAGCAGCCACCCATAAACTCCCACCCAGAACCATCCGCGATGCTGACTCTGCATGGATTCTACACAAGGAGTACAAATAATAAAAGCACTAAACACCCAATCAACTGTGTAACAGTCCCAACAATAATGCATTTCAGAGCTGCTTCGATACTCACATTGCAGGAAATATAATCTGATGGACAGCAGTAAAGCCATTGGTATAGTTTTCCATATCAGCCATTTGAACTTCTTAAACTTAAACCCAGCCCACAAATTTAGAAGCCACTCAATTGACCCAGGCACAACCCATTGAATACCCCACCAATCCACTGAACTAGACCGCATTATGTCCAAATTGATGGACACAACAAAAGCACATGATTAACAGATCAATATCATAATTTCAAAAAATACAAGTGTTACAAACACTCCCACTTAGTACACCAAAACTTAGTTGAAAAATGGCGTTTCGGGGACGAAAATTCAAAATAGCTCCCGAACCACCGTGTGACTCTCACGGGCAGCTTTCCCATGATAAATACGACTTGTGACAACTGACGGAATGTAATTCGGACCCGTAGATTGGGAGTTAGAGTCGAATACACCCAAAACGTAGTCGAAAAAGGGCGTTTCGGGGGCGAAAATTCAAAACAGCCCGCGAACCACCGTGTGACTCTCACGGGCAGCTTCCCCATGACAAATAGAGCTTGTGACAATTGACGGAATGTAATTCGGACCCGTAGGTTGGGAGTTAGAGCCGAATACGCCCAAAACTTACTCAGAAAAGGGCGTTTCGGGGGCGAAAACACAAAACAGCCCCCGAACCACCATGTGGCTCTCACGGACAGTTTCCGCATGACAAATATGACTTGTGACAACTGACGGAATGTAATTCAGACCCGTAGGTTGGGAGTTAGAGTCGAATACGCCCAAAATTTACTCCAAAAATGGCGTTTCAGGGGCAAAAATTCAAAACAACTCCCGAACCACCGTGTGGCTCTCACGGATAGTTTCCCCATGACAAATACAACTTGTGACAACTGACGAAATATAATTCGGACCCATTGGTTGGTAGTTAGAGCCGAATACGCCCAAAACTTAGTCGAAAAAGGGCGTTTCGGGGGCGAAAATTCAAAACAGCCCTCGAACCACCGTGTGACTCTCACGGGCAGCTTTCCTGTCACGCCCCACTTTTTATTACTCGGAGTCATTACCAAATTCTTAACTTAATCCAATTTCAGAGATAACATGCGGAAATAAACTCATACATTCAATCCGTAGAAATGATTAACAATACCCTCATTCGTATGCAAAGTAAACATTGCATGAACTAACTTAATAAATTGCCCTTGGGCTTACATCATTAAAAGTACAAGAAGAAGGGTGTAACCCTTTACAACAATGGCATTCCGCCAACATAACTAAGGCCCCGTGGCCAACATATAAGAAGATCCAAATCTTGTAGCACACCCTGCTAAACACCTGAAAAAGATTCAACAACGTGGGATGAACATATAGTCCAGTAGGGAACTCAACATGCTCCTTAACAATAACAGCATTACAGATAGCTATGATCATGAACACCCATTCTCATACTAGAATAATAATGTGACAGTTTATACAAAATATATATATAAATATATATATGAACTTTTCTTGGAAACAATCATTTAATTCACCGCTATAAGCGATTTATCCTCCCTTTTTCCTTTCATTAACCCCCGTTCCCAATCTTTTATAACATTAACAACTACTTAGAAACATAGATTCACTAAGCCCATTACTCTTCCATTTGCCACACACACACAACAAATGTGCCATTTCAAAACATATTTGGCATTTCAATGCAATTCCAATTATATCATAATTATCCATGCACACCTCTATAAAAAAGATAACAACTCAACTACATACATAAAATCAATCAATGAGTCAACTCGTCCCTCCAACACTGTAACAAATACAATCCACAATGTTTCCAGATACACTGAAACAATAACAAAACAACACTGCACTACTAACTATATGCGTAGTAAGCCAAAGATACACTTCTCACCACAATCTACCAGTTTACCAGGCGCTAGCTGGAAGGGTATGGTACCTTAGATTATCAGCGCGTCAGTTCTCCAGGCGCTAGCTGGAAGGGTATGATACCTTTGATTATAAGCGCTGAACACATAAGTGTGTGGAGTCCATCCCCTATCTTCTCACAGACACTGGAGTACAACCCCTTTCTTCTCCCAAACCAGTAACAAATATAATGTAATTCAGCATTTCATTACATATAATGTTCAATCAACAATGGTGTATTACATACACAGCAATTCAACACAACCACGTCATCCTCCACCGATGACCAAGGATAAAACCTCTAGATGCAAATATTTAGTACACCTATTAAAGACTCAATTACTATGAGACCACAAACCCGACAACAACATTAACATGGTAGTTCAAGATACAATTCCACACGTGTGTGTTCAACACTCATGAAACCATAATCCAATTTTCATACGTATTTCAAAACACTTTTCCCATTTCACAAAACAAGTTCCACTTCCCTCTTTGTTTAAACAAAACCAACTCCGTCTCTTTAGTTGTCACAAAACCAAACCCATCCCTTTTATTTTACAAAAAACGATTTCTACCAATAAGGAAGCCAATAACTCACATTAGTCACTACATACATTTCAAACCCAATTCAAAGCCAAAGTTAACCCCTTAGGCATTAACACCTTCACCCAATTCGCATTAACAATAGAGATTTACAACATAGGTTAACTACCCTCCATTTTAATTTACCAAATCAAAATATAATTTAGGGCTTTTTCTTCTTTCAACTATAACATGCTAATTTACACTCCAATTAGCCCAAAACAACCATTAATGACGACATAACCCTTTTTTGTCAACACCCAACCCTAGGTTCCTTCCCATGATTTCAAACAAATCCAACATGGATATGATTTCTATGCAATACAAAATTACCACATGTCTATCTATAGACGAAGTATTGAAAAAGAACAAGGAGAATCCCTACCTCAAATGGAGAACTCAAATGGAGAAGATGACCCGAAATCAAAGTGCTCCAAATCCCAAATTTCTTGGATCACAACGAAGCCCTCGACGATCAACACACTTCTTACAAAGGCCCAAGGTGGGGAAAACACTCTAGCTAGATCAATCCTAAGAGAGAAGGTCGAAGAGTAGAGAGAGAAACTCTCAAGGGGCGGTTTTTAAAAGTTAAGAGAGGAAAAGTAGGTCAAAAAGTGATCCAAAAAGTGAAATCACGGACTGATGTAGTCGACTCTACGCTCGAGCGTAGAAAACCCCGCTCGAGCGTGAAAAGAGCCGCTCGAGTGCTGATTGCACACTTCCAGAAGTTTTGCAGTCTACTCTCCGCTCGAGCGTAAAACTCCCGCTCGAGCGTATGGACAAAAATCAAAGGATCACACTCGAGCGTAAAAACTACGCGTCGAGCGGCCTAACTGCAGAGTAAAGTACTGGGAGATGGAAAATCACGCTCGAGCGTCCAACTGCCGCTCGAGCGGAAAGGCAGCAACAAAGCCCGCTCGAGCGTAAAACGGCCCCGAGCGGAGAGACCAAAACCTTGGGCAAAATTTCAAAGCTTTAAAACACAACCAACTAATTCCCAACTTGCCCAACACAACCCAAAACTCTAAAACAAAGAGTAAGGGATAGAAATGAGGATAAGACAACAACGAATCTACGGAACTGAGTCTAGATTATAGATATACAACAACAGGGAATACCGGGATCGCTATAACCCATGACAAATACGACTTGTGACAACTGACGGAATGTAATTCGGACCCGTAGGTTGGGAGTTAGAGTTGAATACGTCCAAAACTTAGTCGAAAAAGGGCGTTTCGGGGGCGAAAATTCAAAACAGCCCCCAAACCACCGTGTGGCTCTCACAGACAGTTTTCCCATGACAAGTAGGACTTGTGACAACTGACGGAATGTAATTCGAACCCGTAGGTTGGAGTTAGAGCTGAATACGCCTTAAACTTACTCGAAAAGGGGTGTTTCGGGGGCGAAAATTCAAAACAGCCACCGAACCACCGCGTGGCTCCAACAAACAGTTTTCCCATGACAAATAGGACTTGTGACAACTGACGGAATGTAATTCGGACCCGTAAGTTGGGAGTTAGAGCCGAATATGCTTTAAACTTACTTGAAAAATGGCGTTTCGGGGGCAAAAATTCAAAACAGCCCCCGAACCGCCGTGTGACTCTCACGGGCAGCTTCCCTACGACAAATAGAACTTGTGACTACTGACGGAATGTAATTCAAACTCATAGGCTAGGAGTTAGAGCCGAATACGCCTTAAACTTACTTGAAAAAGGGCGTTTCGGGGGCAAAAATTCAAAACAGCCCCCGAACCGCCGTGTGACTCTCACGGGCAGCTTCCCTACGACAAATAGAACTTGTGACTACTGACGGAATGTAATTCAGACTCATAGGCTTGGAGTTAGAGCCGAATACGCCTTAAACTTACTCAAAAAATAGGCGTTTTGGGGGCGAAAATTCAAAACAGCCCCTGAACCATCGTGTGACTCTCACGGGCAGTTTACCCGTGACAAATAGGACTTGTGACAGCTGACGGAATGCAGTTCGGACCTACAACTGACGGAATGTAATTCGGACCCGTAGGTTGGGAGTTAAAGCCGAATACACCTTAAACTTACTTGAAAATGGGGCGTTTCGGAGGTGAAAATTCAAAATAGACCCCGAACCACCATGTGACTCTCACGGGCAACTTCCCCATGACAAATAGGATTTGTGACAACTGACGGAATGTAATTCAGACCCGTAGGTTAGGAGTTAGAGCCGAATATGCCATAAATTTACTCAAAAAAGGGCGTTTCGGGGGCGAAAATTCAAAACAGCCCCCGAACGACCGTGTGACTCTCACGGACAGTTTTCATATGACAAATAGGACTTGTGAGAACTGACGAAATGTAATCCGGATCTGTAGGTTGGGAGTTAGAGCCAAATACACCTTAAACTTACTCAAAAAAGGGCGTTTTGTTGAAGTGCCCATTGTTCTTCAGATTCGTACAAATAAGATGAAAGAAAATTTTTTTCTTGCTCCGGATGTGAACTTGCAGGAGCTTGGTATGTGAGTTCTGCATTTTGTTAGTATTTGTTATTGCCATGATAGATCAATACATGATTGGTTCTGCATTTTGTTAGTTATTGTTGTTGCCATGATAGATCATCCAACTATTGTTATTCTTTTCCACTTTAATTGTCTTTTCTCAAACTGGAATGACACTATATTCAAGTATTGTTAGTTAAGATTTTCTGAGCATCTGTTCTGAGATTTTTTGTGGTTGGAAGTGTATAGTGAATATAATTATTTATTGGAGATGTAGAGTAATGGAAAATTAAGGGAAAAATATTCAGAATCCAATATTAACTCATTTTATGCCTTGTTATATTATATTAATTTTTGCATGTACACAAGTGTGTTATATTATATTTAAGCTTTGATACAAGTATCAAACTCTGAATGTTGTTTGTGAGGCCATGTGCTTCATGAGATATTAAGTATTCTTTCTTTGATGAACCATTTATAGGTGTCTCAACATACATTTCTACATATTTCCTTTTGTAATTGAACTTTATTTTTGTTATTATTTTTCTCACATGTTCTAATATCCTGAATGAAATGGCACTGACAGACATTAATAAGTAGGGATAGTTTTATATCTAATCTAATGATTCAAGTGCCTTTTGCAAACAATTAATGAGGAAATTGGTAAAAAGAATACTTTCTATTCACATTGGGCTTTGATATTGGTTTAGCCACAGAATTTGGATAGATGTTGTATACAAATAGAAGATTGTTACATTAGCTTTATGACAGTAATGATAGATTTAGTAATGATTGTTCTACATTTAACAATGTTCCTTATAACAAAAAACTTTAGAAAGACTGATAATTGATTCATCATGGAAGGTTGCTTCTTTGATATGTTATTTGTCACTTGTTGCCAAATTCATTCATGAAGTTGGGCATTTTTGGGTCCAATTACTAAAGTTTTTTATTGTTTTTTTGTAGATGACTTTGTTGCATGGACTTGTGGATAATCCATTTTGGTGTATGGAGAAGAAATTTCACTTTTTTATAGAACTAATATAATACTTTTGTCATCCCCGGCTTTTGTGTAGTTCACTATTACTAATACATAAAACTTTTGGCAACCAACAGATAATTACTAGCATGGTACATAGATCACCTTCTGTCACTGTACATATATATGAGTTTTTGTCGTGGTAAATAGATGTACTTTTGTCTGGGTACATACATCACCTTTTGTCATGGTACAGATTACGATGGTAATTTGTACCATGCCAAATGGTCATTTCATATGGTAGTAAATGTAATTTTTGTATACGGAGGGCTTTGATTTTTGTATGATTCTATATTTTATATGGAATTATTATTTTAGTTTGGACAATAGTTGGTTTGTATTTGACAGTTAAAATTATTTATTTTTTGTATACGGATGTAGATTGTGGAATGATTGATAGTATATGTATCATTTTATTTATATATGTATTACAGGTTACATGGAATATAGACAGGTTATGGATAAATTATAATATTTGCAATAAAACGTAATGTCATGTTTTTATGACTAAAAGTTGTAGCAAAAAAAAAAATTCAAACATTTGGCGACTAAAAGTTTTGTAGTCAAAAGAAAATTAAATATTTGCCGACTAAGACATTTCGTAGCTAAAAATAAAAGTTGAAGAATAAAAAGGAATGGGAAGTGCTAAAAGTTTCTACTAATAAGTATAATCACCATGGTAATCTGGGTGAAGCTGGGGAAATTGATATCGTAGCACAAAAAAATTACATGGATGCTCAGTACTTTGGTGAGATTGGTATTGGTACTCCCCCACAAAAATTTACTGTAACCTTTGACATTGGCAGCTCTAATTTGTGGCCTTCATCAAAGTGCTATTTGTTGGTTCCGTGTTTTTTCCATTCGAAGTACAAGTCAAACCAATCAAGTACCTACAACAAGAATGGGAAATCTACTGAAATTCACTATGGTAGTGGGGCTATATCTGGATTTTTCAATGAAGACCACGTCCAACTTGGTGACCTAGTTGTGAAGAATCAGGAATTTATTGAGGCAACCAGAGAACCCAATATCATGTTTTTGGTTGCCAAGTTTAAAGGTATTCTTGGTCTTGGATTCCGGGAGATCTCAGTTGGAGATTCTGTCCCAATGTGGTACAACATGGTGAAACAAAGTCTTGTTAGTGAGCCAGCATTTTCATTTTGGCTTAACCAAAATACAAAAGAAGTAGGGGGCGAACTTGTGTTCGGTGGGGTTGATCTAAATCACTACAAGGGTAAGCACACATATGTCCTCGTGACGCGAAAAGGTTATTGGCAGTTCGATATGGGTGACATTCTCATTGGTAGTAAACCAACTGGGTACAGTGGTACTGGTTGTTCTGCAATTGCAGATTCTGGGACTTCTTTGTTAGCTGGTCCAACAAGGGCGGAAAAGGCGTCGTTTGGCTCCAAAAAAATTTAATTTCTGTTGCCGCAAAATTTGAAAGCTTCTTAGCTTGAGGTAGGGATTTTTCCTATACTTATTTATGTACTTTTACTTAATTATATGGAACTTAGAGTTGTATATAATTTAATTAGAATTTTAAAAAAAATTGTGATTTAATTGCTTAAAAGAGAAATTTTGAGAAAAATAAAGAGTTAATGCCCAAATTGCAAAAGTGTAAACTTGGAATATGTTTGTAAGGTTATGAAAGAGATATGTTTTAAATTTGAACAAAAACAGACTGTGATTCGATCGGTTTTTTTGAATTTTTTACTATTTTGCGACCAAAAGAGTATTTTTAAAGAAAACAAAGGAATTACGTTTAACTTTTGGGGTTTTTGATCAAAATAGGATATCATAGTTGAATAATGCTTGGAGAATGAGTTTGGAAAGAAAATGATGTTTTCTTGGGCATTAACGGTATTATTTTGCTTAATGTATCTGTTGGAATAAAACCGACACGGTTAGAAATGAACCTTGAGAGGATACCGGATGTGATTGTGATATGTAAACTAGTATAGTTGTTCATATTTGATGAGATGTGGAATAGATTGTATTTATCGAAATTTTTGAAATTTAATTGTTTAAATATCTGTTTAGAAATATTTGTAAGGGCTATCGGTGGAGGATAGCCATGATTGTTGTAGAAATGCACGAGACTTAGGTAAATTAAACCACACTCCTCATTTGTTACATTGGACATTGCATTACATTCATTTCATTGGAGATGTATCTATTTTTTAGAAATGTTTGGAAATATATCTATTTGCGAAAAGATGAATACATGGTGAATCTGGGTAGGGGATGCGGAACCGCGTGGTTAGGTGTCGAGCCTTCTAGTTTACTGGTAAAAATGACAGTGATAGTGCATTAGGGCCTACTTGCAGGCACTCACCTAGAGATTCACAGAACCTGTATTTATGTAACAGATATGGTTTAAAATAGAAATGGTTTTAATATATGTTGTTGCATCTCAACATTGTATGCTTTATAAAAAGAGAGATAAATTGTTTTATTATGAGCATGGCATGAGCATACTCCTCTTTAGTCTTGTCATGGTTCATATGTTGTGTAGTATATCTCTACTGGGCTGTGGCTCACCTTATAAGGGAAACCATTTCAGGTACAGGTATTATGCTTTTCCGCCAAGGCATTGACTTGGGAGGGCTCGAAGCTAAGGCTTCATTTTTGTTTTATTGTTATTTGTTGAATGTAAGCCCAGGGTTGTATTTGCGTTGAGTTGAAACTCCATTTTGTGTAACCAATAATGTTCTTAGATAAATTTGTAAGCTTGTAGGGCACTTATTATCTGTTCGGTTTCCATTTCATATTTGTTGTAAAATGTATGCTTGGGATTAGAACTGGGGCATTGAGATGTGAATAGCATGTGTTTGGCATTTGGGATTTAATGGAAATGGATGTATAGAATAGTTAGCTATATATATGTGTTTGTCTATCAGGTGGGTTTTGCAGTATAAATAGATATACCCTACCCAATTTTCAGGGCGTTACAATAACAATTATCTTCTTTGATTTAACTTACACAAAAAGTTGAGTTTTTTTAACTTTTGTGTTTTTTTTTAAAATTTTTATTCAAATTTTTTAATATTTTAAGCACTTTTTTTAAAAAATTTTTATATACACCTAATCTAGATATACTTAATAAATATAATATTTTGTGATTTTTTTTTTAAATTCACCAAATACAAAAAAATACAAAAATTCAATACATTATCTTATTTTGTTGTATTCAACAAATTTTTTTAAAATTTTTTGTACAAATTTTATACTTTTTAAATATATCTAGATTAAATTGATCTAATTTAGATATAATGGTAGAAATAAAAATAAAAAATTGTATTCATATATACAAATTCATATAAAAATATCTTTAAAATATTGTGATAGTGATATTATTGTAAATATAAATCATGTTTATAGGTATTTTGTTTTAAAGTGAAAGGTCACCATTAAACTATATCATTGTATTTGAAAATTCTATATAAAATTTATGTTTGTATATATATCATCACTCAATAAGAACATTTTCAGTTAGAATTTAATGATGAAAAGTTATACAATGTAATCATAATGATATGAAGAAAAAATTGTAGGAAAATGGACAAAATGGTCATTTAGAAAATTTTAAGGCATGACATCAGCAATTTGGTGAGTAATTTGTAATAAGATTACAAATCTCAGGGAGAAAAATGTAATTTTTCAAATGTGAGGAAAGAATTTATATAAAACAAAAGGGTCAAGCTTCTCTCATATTGAAATCTCAACATAACATAACTTGAGGGGCCCATAAGGCTTAACACAGGTCTTGTGTTGATAATCCAAACCATTTATTTTATAGGGTCCGCAATGTATAATATACATGAAAAAATTTAGGACGATCTAATAATCGTAAAATTTTTATTTTATCACATTTGTCTCTAAAAAAATGAATAGCCTATTTCGAAAGTGTATTTGTCGTCTATTTTTTTTAACACAAATGCAATAAAATGAAAATATTATGATTATCGTATCGAACTAATTTTCTTCATAGATAATATAAATTGCAGGCCTTACAAAATAAATGGTTCAGATCATCGAGATCGGACACATGGTGGGCCCTAGAGGCCCCTCAAGTTCTATCATGTTGAGATCTCAACATGAGAGAAGCCTAATTCTAAACAAATGGTTGAGCTTCTCTTATGTTGAGATCTCAACATGACAGAACTTGAGGGGCCCATAAGGCCTAACACACGTCTTGTATCGATAATCCAAACTGTTTATTTTATAGGGTTTGTAATGTATAATATATATGGAAAAAATTAGGATGATCTAATAATCGTAACATTTTTATTTTATTATATTTGTCTCTAAAAAAATGAATGGTTTATTTCAAAAGTGTATTTATCGTCTATTTTTTTAAAATACAAATGTAATAAAATGAAAAAATTAATTTTTGAATCGAATTAATTTTTGAATGAAAAAATGAATGACTTGGGAACCCTTTTTTTTCTCACCCCTTAACCCTCTCTTCACCTGATTACCTACTTTTTCTTTCTTTATTCTTTCTCCTCCAATCACCACCCGCCACGTGTTTATGAGGTAGTGATTGGGGATCTCAATCATCACCTTTTTTTTTTTTTTTTTTTTTAAAAAAAAATTCTAATTTTGCCCAAATATAAAATTTCACTTTTACCCTCCTCCCTAATCTTCTAACCCTAATTTCCCAAACTTTAATCCTAATCCCTCTCAACTCTGGCTACCATGCCGCCATCGCCGCCGTAACCACCTCCATCGCCACTGCGTACACTCCGACCGTCGTTAAACCCATACTCACCACCTCCTCTACCTCTTCCACCTCCGCCGCCGCGTCCCCTGAATCGGTCCTTCATTCGGTCCAGTCACATCAGCGACTTTGGTACGACCATCGCCGCCTCATTCCATCACTCCGATTCCACCTCCATGGTCGTCGGCAAGCCTTTGAAGCAAGGGTTTCACCAGATTCATCATCACTCTCGTCCAGATCCACTTCACAGATCGCAGATCGATTACGTCCGAAGCTTCAAATATATTTGTGATGTTTTTTTAATAGATCTATGGTGTTTTTTGAAAAAGTCTTGATCAATTTATATTTATGGATTCAGATCTGAGAAATATATATATGTTTATATATATAAATATGATTTTGAGAAATATATATATATATATATATGCCCTAACAAAAATGGGTGCCCAGTTGTAATCATAGCTTTCCTCCTGTTGATGTTTTCTCATAAACTAATGCACAAGTAACATGAATACTAGTTGGTGGCATCCTTGGGGATGATGAATTTGGTGTGCTGTGATGTGATTTGTTTCCAAATTGTTCACTTGATTTACTATGAACTTGTATATAATACTTTTCTCCCTAGAAGAGATGCAGAGCTTCAAAGCATTTGTTGAACATATTTTTTATTTATTTATTTATTTATTTGTAGTTGTGGATGATTGTTGTTGTTGTTCATCAACAGATACAACAAACAGATTTGCTCAAAAATTTCTCTCTGAATTTTTTTTTCTTCTTTATAATCTGTTGCTATTGTTGTTGTTGTTGTTGTTGTTGTTGATGATGACAAGGGGGAGGAAATAGATTGCAACAGATAGGGGGAGAGCGAGGGTAGAGAGAAGAAAGGATTTGAACAGATAAAAAATAATTCAACAGATAGGATTTGGTTTGTTTGGTATTTAACTGATAGAAAAAATAAAATAATAAATTGAACAAATAATAAATTTGGATAGATAAAATTTTATTTGGATAAATATTTAAACAAATAAGGGAAATTTGAATTAAAAAGATTAAAAAATTAATTAGATAAGGAAAAAAAATTGAACAGGAAGGAAAAAAAAATTGAACAGATAGGGAAAACTTTTGAACAGAGAAATTTTTTTGAACAGATAGGAAAAAAATTTGAATAGATAGTTAATAAAAGTTAATAGATAAAAAAAACCTAACGGATAAATTAAGGGAAAAATTGAAAACAAAATGTTTTTCAAAACAAATAAAAAGGCTTCTCATCAAATTATTTCACAAAGAATGAATTTCTCATTGACAAAAAAATCCACTAAACCTAATAACTTATACAATTGCTAGAATGAACTTTTCAACAATTTTCTCATAAAAAATTTGATCTACGTGTTAACTAGGATTAAGTTTTTTAATTGGCTATCCCTTTGGCCACAAAGTCTCCAGTGAGAGGAGGTTTTGGGTTCCACTCTTAGACCCCATTTGTTTTCAGAGATAGAATATAGAGAATTCATAGTGAGGGGAATATAGTGAGAGGATTAAGTAAAATTGTATTTGTTTTGATGATAGTTGTTAGTGTAAGAATTGTTAAATTATTTTTATATAAATAATAAAACAAATAAAAAAATACAAAAAATTAAACATTAATGTTTAAAAAAAAATGCCCAATATGTAAAATATAAAAAAAATAATAATAAAATTTCTAGTCCCCTCACTATTTTTCTAATATCACCTCCACATCCTCCATCTCAATCCCCTTTCTAACTTCCATTTTAATTCCCTCCCCCATCATAATCCCTTCCCTAATTCTACAAACAAACACAACACTAAATGGGCCCCACCTCCATCCTAATCTCATCCCACCCTCTACACCCCAAAACAAACGGGGCCTTAAAAGTAGAATAGATGGACAAGATTTTCTTACAAGGCGTATGTATATGAGTTTCAATTCTTTCGATGTGCTAATTTAATAATTAACAGTTGATTTTTGTCGATCAAAAAAAAAATTGTTGTCACCATGCCACCGCCGCTACTACCACTATTGTCACAACCACCACCTTCATCATCATTGTTATTACTGCCAAAAGTACCACCATTATTTTACTACCACTATCATCGTTATCGCTACAACCACCACCTTCACTATTAATGTTACTACTACCACTACCACCATGTCACTACCACCACTAGGGGTGCTTACAGATCGGTTTTTGAGGGTTAGGTTTAAGATTTAGACTTGTCCACATGTCTGTGGTTTGAGAAAAATTGAACCTGCAATCGCCTACAGTACAAATTACGGTTTGTGCAGATAAGGTTCGTGAATGTGCAGAAGCTTGCGAGCGGTTTGCGGATTGAGCTTTGTTAAACTTATTTATTTTGATAATTTATTTAATTATGTTTTAATTTATTTGGAAGAGAAAAATAGAATCAAAATTTATTTTGATGATTTATTTGAAAGAGAAAAATAGAATCAAAATTTATTTTGATGATTTTATGTTGTAATAAAATCAAAATTTATTTTGTCCCATTATTTCTCACCTAAACCTTTATCCTAAATGTTGTTAGAATGTATTTAATATTTGATTAAATCAGGAGTTCAAACAGCCCAGAACAAAGGTTCAAACAGCCCAGCACAGCAGCAGGCCAAAAGGTTCAAAAGGTTCAAGTGAAAGATATTCAAATTTGTAATGATGGAGTGGAAGATATTCAAATTAGCAATGATGGAAGTACAATGGCTATAAACGGCTATAAATTCAAATGAATACAACGGCTATAAACGACTATAAATTCAAATGATTACGACGGCTATAATTTTCATTATATATTCCAAAGCCTCTAATGTAAACAAGTTACAAAAACCTGAAAATATTCTTTGATCTATAATCACTCACATCTATTCTCATAAATTATACACTGATCCTTATAGTTTTAAGCCCATCTTTTATGTGTGAGGTTTATAGAAAAATCATAGCTTCATTTTTATATCTCTCTTTGAGAGATAATTCTTGTAGCTTTCTGTGAAAGCAAAAACACCTTCTTTTCAACCTTGTAAGAGTGTAGTACACTCAGTGTTCTTGACTTAGAAAGTCAGTGTAAAATCTGTGGAGGATTGCTCCA